ATCGGGGCTGAAACTCACTCTATTGAGTTTCGAACCCTTATGTGCCTAGCGGGTTTCAAACTCGAAACCTCTACTAGGCACGGTAATTTCACAAGCTGGGATGGAATGTTTGGTTCACAAATATATACTATGTATATAAGTTCGAGTCTCTACGACGATAGAAGCATTGCCACAAAAAGAGACTCACAAATATATACTCTGTATATTCCACTAAACTTTCAGACTCCAAATGTATTCATATTTCTTCATACTCGAATTAGTCCAATAGTCACCCAACTATACCCATTATGCGCATCGTTACTCCAAACTCATCGGCTTCTCCATCGATCATATGTTCCGTCCCCGCGGTCAAGGAACCAATTCTTCGCTGATACGAATCCTCGTGAACCTCCATGCTCAATCAACAACCCTTGAATTCTTCACTCTACGAATCCTCCTGTATCGTATATACTCCTCAATCCAAGAGCCTGGAATTCTTAGCTCTATGAATCCTCCTGTATAGACAATTGCCGCAACCCACAAGCCTAGAATTTTCCGCCTGGATATAGGATCCGCCGCCTTGGCGGCAGGAGGATGATTTATTATTAACTCTAGGTTGAGCACAACTATAATTATTCGCTACCTTCAAACCTTGATAGCAGACCCATGACTCGCCGGCGAGTACGCCGTACTCCCTTCGCGTAACCAGCTAATTCTTCATCAACTGTCTGCTTATTACAAACATATAATGGATACTCTGAAAAACATATAAAGGATGTTTGGTGCCAAGCACAGACCAAATTTTCAGGCTGAATTGGGCATCCCTTGGAGCTGGTAGGAGGGGCTGGTCACCTGACACAGGGATGAAGATCTGATATTGGGGCTGCTATGGTTTTTGTTAGGGATTGGGTTCCGATTTGTTCAATTCTTTTTGTTCAAGTTTCTGCAGGGGATAGTCTTCCATAGGTATCCGAGAAAAGTTACATTTTTATTAAAAAGAATTTACATTTCCGTTTATCTCAAGTTACGTATCTATGAATGTGAGTTACATGTCAACTTTCCTCAGTAAGTTACATCATACTTAAACGTGATTTACTTTTTTCATAACACGAGTTGTACCATAATATAATGCTAGTTACACAACAAAATAAGCTCATGTTATTCAAAATTTTTTTATAAAAAACATTTTTATAGAAATAAAAAATATGGAATAATTTTTATAAAAATAATTTTTATAAAAACTATATTTGAAGTGGTATAACAAGTTGAAGTTGAGAGAGTAAAACAAGTTACATATTCTAGCGCATGAATTACATTAAAAAACATTGGATTTACATTTTACAATAACACGAGTTACATTTGTCATAACGCGAATTACATTTGAAAATAAACTCCTGCTAATGAAGAAAAAAAGGGTTTTTTAAAAATCATTTTCCATGGCCTTGACATTAAAAAATAAAACATATACACTATTTATGTAAAGCAATTGAGCAATTAGACTTTTTTTTATTGTTTACAATGAAATCAATATTTTATTTTTTATATTATGTATTTGACAAGTTACATTTCAAATGAACTTGAGATACATTGATCAACAATGTGAGTTACATTTCTTTACACGCGAGTTACATCACCCTACTACTGAAATAAGAGAAAGAACAAAAGAATAGTTACTGTAACATGCGAATTTTGATTTTGGGAGCACGATGCGGTTAACCCATTTGTATTGAGAAGAAAACGATGTGACAATTCATGTGCGCGTCACGTGCTCATTATGTGACAATTTCCCATTTCCTGACACCCAAAGGTAAAAAATCAATAATAATAAAAATAAATGAAAGCAAACCACTACTGTACACGCTTCACTCTGTTCCGTACAAACAGCACCAACTCCCTCCAACGGTCATATTCTCCACCTGCATGTCTCAACGGTCGCATTCTCGTCTAATCACAGCCGTCCAATCTCCATCCAACGTCTGTGAAATTAGGATTCGCCTTCTTTTCTCCGGTATCCATTGGAAACACCAGCAGTAAAGAAACCAGTAGCGACTACAGAGAGGGAGAGAGCCCCACCCCACCCACTCAAGGCCCCAATATATAAAACCTGATTACTATTTCCTGTGTAGCCTTTTTCGGGTAGTGGGGCTATAGGAAAAAAATCAGTTCTTTCAATCCATTATTTCCTTCTTCATCATGGTGATCGTCTTCATGGCTTTCATGAGTCGTTGAAGAAGTTTTCAAGCCTGGGTTTTTTTGGGGGGGTTTTAGGGGTTGTAGTTTGGTGCTCTTCTGGGCATCTTTGAGATTTCTTATGTTGTTTGCCTGCATTTTTGGGACCAAGAATGTCCCATCTCTTGAAACAACCATATTTCTTAGCTGCACCATGATTTCTCCCTGAAATTGCAGGAATCCGATGATATTCTTTATTTCTTGGTATTAGTCTTGATATTCTTTCCAATTCTTTAATTCTTTGTTTTCTTGACCCATTCTTTGTTGCATATACACATACATAGGACACATACCTTTGCACTGTTTTTTGGCATCGGATTCCTTTTATTTTTTCATTCAATTTATTGATATTCTTGCACACTCACACTTAGTGGCATACATATAAATCTTGCTCTGTTTCTTGAAAATCTCTCGGGGGAATTTGATTACCAACTTCATACCAAATAAATGCATACTGTTAGCTGGTTAAAGTAAAGGGAAACAAGAAATTTGGGAGGGTGTTGTGAAGAATGTTGGCTGGGTTTTCATCATCAACATTGTTGTCAGCAAAGGATAGATTATTGAGGAGTGAACCTTCATCATCTGAGCAGTTAAAAGCTTGCAATTTCCCTTCAATGAGCACACAAAGATTGGATTTGCCAACATGCAGCAGGTTTCTCCGAAAAGATGCCTCCTCCAAATCTCAGGCCATTGCAAGGCCTCCTTCTGTTGTTCATGTTCTTCCCCCACGGCAGAAGAGGAGCTTGAAGAGGTATGCAGAACATGACGCTTGGGGTGATGATAATAACAGAGCTAGTAAGAGGAAGAAAGGTGTTATTATAAAAAAGTCTGGTGATTCCGAGGATGAAGAAGGTCAAGCAATAGTTCATGATTCGTGTTTGGGGAGTGGGAAATTTTGGGTTTTATCAGGAGATGAAGATGAAAGGAGTGGGAGGAGAATCCATGGCCATCATGAAACAGGAGGGGGGGAACCTTCAAGATCGAGCACTTCTTCAGAAAGCCAAAGTTTGTTTCTTGATGATAATCGAAATAATTACCCCATTATTGATACAGGTCATAACGGTAATCCAGGTGCAAGTTGTTCTACTTTAGCAGCAGAATCACAGAATGGGGTTGACCTAATCACCTTACTGGTGGCTTGTGTGGAAGCAATAACCTCCAAAAACATTACAGCAATCCACCATCTCATTTCAAGATTAGGGCAGCTTTCTTCTCCCATCGGGTCACCCATTAACCGCTTAATTTCCTACTTCACTGAAGCTTTAGCTTTGAGGGTTTCTAGGATTTGGCCTCATATCTTCCACATTTGCCCTCCAAGACACATTCTTGATCCCATTCTTGATAATGAGGAGACTACTAATGCCAATGCATTCAGATTCTGGAACTCGGTCACCCCAATCCCCAAGTTCATACACTACACCTCAAATGAAATTCTTCTGAGAGTCTTTGAAGGGAAAGAAAGGGTACACATCATAGACTTTGACATCAAACAAGGACTACAATGGCCTGGTTTGTTCCAGAGCTTGGCTTCTAGGACTAACCCTCCAAGCCACATTAGGATCACTGGGATTGGGGAATTCAAACAAGAACTTCTCCAAACAGGTGAAAGACTGTCCGGTTTTGCAGAAAGGTTAAATCTTTCCTTTGATTTCCACCCAGTGGTTGATAACCTTGAAGATGTGAGGCTATGGATGCTTCATGTCAAAGAAGGTGAATCTGTTGCGGTCAACTGTGTGCTCCAGATGCATAAGGTCTTGTATGACAGTTCGTGTCGGGCCTTGATGGATCTCTTGGGTTTGATTCGGAGTACGAACCCAGTGGCTGTTGTGATTACAGAACAAGAAAGCGATCACAATGGACCTAGTTTGGAATCAAGGATTGCAGAATCTTTAAAATACTATGCTGCAATATTTGATTCTCTCGACTCTAGTGTGTCATTGGATAGCCCAGTGAGGTTGAAGATCGAGGGCATGTTTGGGCGGGAAATAAGGAACGTCGTGGGCTGTGAAGGGCGGGAAAGGGCCGAGAGGCATTCAAGGTTCGGGAAGTGGAGGGAGTGGATGGGGCTGAAAGGGAACTTCAGGTGTTTAGGGATCACAGAGAGGGAGTTTCAGCAAAGCCAAATGCTGCTTAAGATGCATTCTGAGGAGAGTTATAGGGTGGAGATGAAAGGGGAGGATGAAGCATTAACTCTAAGTTGGGAAGACCAGACGCTTTATACAGTCTCAGCATGGACACCATTTGATGATGATGTTGCAGGAAGTTCATAATACTGATGATGATAGATGATATCATCATACAAATCACAGGTTTATTTATTCTGTTTTAATGGGGTGGTGGTCAGTATAGAGGGAGGAAGAAAAAAAGGGTAGCAGATTCTTTGTTTTTAGATATATTCTTTATTCTTTACTGCAGATAAGATCATGTATGACCTTTGTTATAATTTCTTTCATATAGGTTTTAGGAGAAAATGACTGATTCTTTTTTTGTTGATGCTGTATACTGTTTAGTGCAAGTTATTTCTGATCGTTAGGCAAATTCTTTATGTAGTTTCAGGCTTATCTTTGTTCTCTGATTCACCCGGATTGTAAGATACATAGTATCATCAGAACTATTGTTCCAATAAAGTTATTTGTTTCAATAAAGTGTTGCTGTCTGTACTGTCTAACTTATTGTTTTATATTCTTATTTTTGCTTGTTTAGTCAGTTCTAAAATAATCTCCCATTACTGTTTAGCCCAGCATTTTTTTTATCGAATACAATGTATATATAAAGCGGTGAAAAAGGGAGATGAAAAATTATATAAAATCACATGATTTAACCAAATACATACGAGTAGTTATTTTCTACTCCAAGACTCAATAAGTAAAACAAGACAGAAAATCAATCTTCTCTTCCCCACTACCTATTTGCCATTTTTGGCTAAAAAAAACACGATGATATAACTTCCTGATAGACACTAAAAGTCCTTTAAAAACCTGCTGGCGGCTGTCCCTTTGGCAAAAGCCTCCAGCTTATCAACTGTCTCACCTACCTCTTGCTCCTCATCCCTGGTGGTTACCACACTGTCAGCTGTCTTTGGCTCTTTTACTTCCTTCAACTTGCCATACTTATTCAAGCACTCTACATATAATAAAATAATACACCAAATCAATTAGGGGTCTGTTTGGATGGGAGCTTTTATGTCTTGTTAAAGATAACGTTCACACACAAAAACAAAGGCAAGCTGGAAATGTTTTATTCTGATCTATCATGTTTTCTTTCAATTTGTATAGAATCTCAAATCTTTATCAAGATATAGGCTCTGTTTTGGTCAGCCTTTTCTAAAGAGATTTCTTAGAGTATAGCTTAAACAGTATTACAAACACCACTCTTTTTTATAAAAAAAGAAGTAAAAAAGCTAATGAAAGGTAAAAAAAAGTAGTGATTTGAGATGGAGTTATCCAATACAACATACCAATAGGTCCAATGCCAAGCACTTGGCTAATAGTTATTAAATCTTTCATGGTGCCGACAACTTCAGCTATCTGTTCATTGAACCCATAATATATAGATATCAATATCGGAAAGGTGTAGCATCAGTGGAGGTTTCGGTTTAAAAAGTAGCATGATGTTTACCTGCAAACACCTAAAGTGTTGTTTGGAAAATCCTAAATCATTAACCAATGGCATCTGCATATTCCTTTCTAGCTTGTCTTCTGCTTTCAGAAACCTGTCCATAGATAAAGGACTTTCATTATTACAGGAGTTTTTTAAAATAAATCAACTATTAAATACACTGTAGTAATTTAAGTAATTTTCTTTATTAACCGCTAATTACTCGAATCCACTTTTCGAAGTTAGGGCATTGGCATTGGTTTCCTCAAAAGGAACACACATAGAGGGATTTTAACTTTTAGGACCTGCAACTTTGGACCTGTTCATTTGGACTAGAATTTTCCCATCTAGTTCAGCCTAAACTGGTTTGGTCTTTTCAAGTCTTATGCGTTTAAATCTAGTCTGATATGTTTATCTTTGATATTATGTGTATTTATTATTCTGTTATGCTGATATGGCCTCTTTTAGACCGATTAAGGACTGAAATAAGTCCAATTGATTAGGTAAGTTAAATGAGTATAAATCATAAATGAGCCAAGTGGCAGTTTAGTGTCAGTAGAGAGGGAACATGACTTACATATTGCAACATGATTTCATATCCTCAAAATTTTCAATACTACTATATATTTGAGCTGCTTCAACAAAGCCGTTAACCTGCAAATTGTAGATAAGACTTGGCAGGTCATATTTATACATGTTGTGACATGACCAATAGGCAAGATATGAATTTGGAGGGGATTGGACTTTGCACCCAATTAAATAAAGTTCTCACCCCATTTTCACAATCATTAATATTTGCAACTCCATCATCATCATCATCATCATTACCCCAGTGCTGGCTCCCATCTTCGGTGGGGTAAGGGGGGTCAGATGTACGCAGTCTTACCCTTGTACTAAAGCACAAAGAGACTGTTTCCGAGTGACCCAAAGTGAAAAAGCTTGTCAAAAATTGCATGGACTGAGTGCTACTTCATAACAAAGAAGCGCAAACAGTAAAAAAAGGATGCAAACTTCCATATGACAGTAAAAAATGGTGCAAACTATAATTTGTAGGGTGCAAAATTAATGATTTTAAATAAGGGGGTGCAAACTCAAAAAATTCAACTAAAAACTGGGAAAGGTGGGGGTGCGAAATCCAATTCCCCAAGAATTTGAACATTGGCAGGTAGCTCAGTTGTAAGGAGAGAATCTGGCATGCTTTGTTGTTTCCCAAAGATAATTTACTCCCTTGTTTGGTTGATATAGACTGTTATTTTGGGTAGAGGGGGTTTATAGAAGGAAAAGATCAAGTCGTGTGTCTCGGCACCATACCTGCCTAGAAATCAACCGACGCTCTAAAAACTCTTCATGACATAGCACACAGAATTCCCACAAAACAATCTGAAATAGAGAGGAAACTAATATTCACATTGGAGAGAAAATAACAAATACAAATAAACAATGTAAAGGAAAAATAAAAATGATGCCTGCATTTATCAGTGATAAAGTGTCTCACCTTCAAGTCATCCCTGAAGATCACACGAAGTTTACCTTCATGGACAATGCGAAAATTTTCATAGATACTCTCTTGAACTACTCTTCCATATTCCAACATTATTAACCCGGAAGGGAAAATGTGCTCTTCAGGCAATCCAAGGAACATGATTTCATCCACCATGCCACTTTCAAATTTTGCTTTGAAAAGACTTGGAAGAGCTTCATATATCACTTCTGCAAGGTTAGAAAGAACGCAACCACTTCAGTGTATTCCGTTTATTTTGATGAACAAGTAGTTTTTGACTTACTTATTTGGCTGAAATGGTTGTTAGCAAATGTTTTCCTAACGCTTTACACTTTCATAAAATTTAGCATCCCTTTCAGCCAAATAACTCTTATCAAACAGGCCCTAAAGGAGTATTCAGAAAATAAAGCGTGCAATGTAAATAACATTAACATTTAACTCAAGAAATGCTTACCAAATCCTTTCGGAGATTTCGAACAACAAATACTACAACACCAAGATTCCTGGATTAGAAATTGCACGAGATCACTATCAGATTTACTAAAAGTTTTATATGAAGCATTTGAGTGCATCTTTTGAAAAAGAGAGAGAACCTTTAAGGGAATTCTTAGTCTGCAAGGACTAACCATGGCTGTCTTAGTGAAGAGATTGAGAGCTTCTTGGTTCATATTTTCACATATAGACAAACACCACCTCTGCTTAGCACAAGGAGCATAGTATTCTGAACAAAACTTTCTCCAGAAGTTTATGTCGTTATCCTGTAGAATATGCATACCAAATTCCACGTTCCACAAATTTAACCAAATTTACAATATCACACTAAAAATACCATTCCGTCCGGAAAAAGCCATACTTTTAACACTGAAATCGGTATCAACAAAAGCTGTTTTTTTTCCTATGAAGAGTCATATTTCATCAACCAATGCCAATATTTCATCAAATTTTTCAACAGCTTTCAAAAAACAACATTATAAACAAGTTTCAAACATGATACATTCAGTGAAACCAACAAATGTATTTGTAAAATATAAATATGATTTCATGGCTTTTAACCATTGTACCTAGCCAAAATTTAAAAGTACCAGGACCAAACAAGTCTCTTTTTATCTTTTTTGGGACGGAGGAGTAATATTATTGCATAATTTTTAGTTTATACGAAACAAACTAACAAATGGTCGGCAACTGAGATGATATATGTACTGCATTAATCGTCGGGAACAGATATTGCCATCGAAGTAAGGTGGAGAAGAGACTTGGGCCCTATCTTGGAATTCAAGTTCTGCTTGAACTGAAACCTGTTCTTCAAGGCCCAAAGGAGAAACATGTTTGTGTATATGACTCTGCTGTCTCTGCTGCTCTATCAGAGTCTTTAGCTCAATATTCTTTTCTTGCAATTCCATGAGACTCTTTTCATACTGCAATTTCATGTTTGCATCTAATCTTGGCCTTTTTAAGCCATTAGTTCCATAAACATCAATATTCACCACAGGATGTGATTGATGTCTCTTATACCCTTGCCCATGTATCTGTGAGAGTGGTCTGTTTGGTAGCAGCAAATGGGCATGGTTGAAAACGTAATTATTTGCACCATTTCCTCCTGGCTGTGGCCCTGGAGATAACTTACTTTGAAGCATATTGTTGGTTTCATTATTATTGTTGTTGTAAACTAAGTGTGCATTCACATTTAGCATTCTTGGAGAGGTTCTCGATGTTCTTTCAAAACAATAGTTTGAAGGGCTTTTGCTTCTTGAGGAGACTTCAGATATCAAAGTCTCAAAAAACCTTCCACCAGTGACTATTGTTGGTTGACCATATGAATTTGAGTGATTGCCTTCCACATCCATTTCTTACAAATATGAACTGAATTAGTTGAACTGATGAACAAAACTTCTGTAGTATATTATTCCTGCAAAATTTTCATAAAACCACATAATCGTGAAATTCAGATTCACTCTTTTAGATGCAGAATAGTTACACTTCATTGAAACAAATCAGCGTTCAATAGAATAAAAGTCTTGAATTTATGACTAAATGAACCAATAGTAGTGTCAAGGACGTTAAACTATGTATTCATTGCAAGGTTCATTAAACTATGTTTCATAAGCCAGAGTGTATATATTACTCTAAAAAAAAAACAAGCCAGAGTGTATATATTACCACGCACCATACAGAAACAGTTCAAGCATTCAATTTTCAGCTTCAAAACTATCAATACAAAAAAAGGTGAGCTGATATCTCTAATCACATCATTCTTGAAATGCCTCTCAAATAACAGTTCAGAATTCATTTTACCTGGAAAAAAATGCAGCTTTCTATAATTCTATGCATCATACTGTAGTTGCTTGCTTATTTACTCCCCATGCACACATTCCAGAAACTTGATTCTTTTAAAGTTTAACTGTTTGAGTAAATTAATTTTCTCATTTTGCCCATTCCTATTACAGTGATATACTTGGAAAGTTGGAATCAACAGAGTAAATAATAAAAATGACGAATCACATTCTAGAGTTGGGGGGCTGGAATCCAGAGATGGTGACAGAGATAAAAACAAATAAATCTGCTCAGAAGACAATAAATCTGCAGAGTTTATGATCAACGCATTTAAAAGACTTCCCCATCAAACCCAGAATTCCAAAACCCAAAAGAAACAAACTTTTATGCCCTTCCTACAATCTGCTCAGAAGACAGTACAGTGAAGGAAAACTCCAAAGATTTTCAAAAACAGCAAATTTCTTACCACTTCAAATAAAAAATGGAAAATGATCAGAAGAAACGCGAGACAAAGGGAGAAATCAATACCCTATAAGCTATGAAGAAGCTCGGGAGTCGCCATTGTTGGTTTAAACGATGTTGATTTGCTCTGGCCGTTTTATTTTTGGGTTCGCGGGAGAAGGGGAGTAGTAGACTGTGTTTGAGGGGGGTGACCGGGAGCAGCCGGTAAATGGGTCCAGTCTAAATGGACACGTGTAGAGCCCAGCTTCAGCCGTCTGTTGACGGTGCATGCAGCGGTGCAATGGTTATCTTTCCGTTTCAGTGGTGAGGTCATCCGCATTCAGTTTTCATGCGAATCCGGCTTTTCCCCTTAAAACCTGCTAAGCCGGTTCTAAATTTAGTATGGTTTTATTTATATTTTCAGTTTTGCCGCATGTTTTCCCAAGTATGCCTCATACTTTAGATATGTTTTGCAGGCATAAGTTTCTGTGTTCTAACTTTTGTGCGGTTCAAAAAGTCTCTAAAAACTCCTAGTTATATGTTTGACATGACAATTTTTAACAATTTTTCAAAAATTAAAAGATCTTTTTTGAGATGTTATAAGGAGTAGCATCTGAAAAAAGCATGTGACTTTTAGTATTAATTGGTCCTAACAGCTTATATACCAAACCGAACTAAATCAAACAATCAGCTTTTTACCAAACAACTACCACCTTTTTTTTAAAATCTTTTCAGTCACTAAAACCTAACAGTTACTCCGTATTAAAAGGTTGACAAAAGTATTTTTTTAATTGCAACGGTCCACTTTTTATGTTTGTCAACACACAAGTTTGATCATTAATATATTTAATTCCTTATTAATAAAAAAATTAAAAATTGGATTTTGAAAATTTAAAATGAGAGAAATATAACAATATTTTTTCAATTTAAATTATAATTCATTAATAAATAAAATAAAGTCAAAGTAGAACATGCAGTGGCGGACCCAGAGATTTGTCAGAGCAGGGGCACACTAGACACTAAACTTACTCTATAATAAAAATTTCAAATGTAATAAAGATGGTAAAAAGTAAGACAATAGCATAAATTATACGGAGTAGTTAATTACATATGGAGTATTAAATAGTTCATTTCTGTAACTTTGGTAAATCAAACCTACGAGTTTTCATATTCTGAAAATGTTTTATATTAGTTTCATTCTCAATACTCCTAAAAACATCTCTCTCGATGTAGCACACCAAGCAATCTGTAAGATAAATCATCTTTTATCTTATTACGAAGATCTGTCCTGATAATATTCATCGCAGAGAAGACTCTTTCAACAGTGGTTGTTACAACTGGTAATACTAAAGCCAACTCAATCAGCCGATATACCAAATGAAAAGAATTGTGAACTTTAAGCTCAACCATCTTTTTGCAAACTTCACCAATAGTCTGTACGGCAGAAAATAATTCATTTGTTCTCATTTCATATATCCACACACCTGGAGTTGCTCTTTCAGCTCCATTCGATCAACAGATGAAAAATCGCATGAATATAATTCCGCGAGGTTCAGTAGCTTTGACTCACAGAAATTGGAGAACTTATCTCTAGGATCAAGACATGCTAAACAAGTGAGTAATTCTATGTTTTACATGGTCTCTAAATGTTTCAAGACTTTTTTTCCAATTACGAAACCCGGTCTTCACAAATACATCATCTCCAAATCTCTTCCCTTCTACACACATGGAAAAGGTAACACGAAAAGCAAAATGTAGCATCTTAAGAAATACTATATTCCAACTAGCTGTCCGACATAAGCTCTCATCACGTCATCTCTTACTCGAGGCTCATATTCAATGATTGGCTTTCGTAATGCGGGATCGCTAATGATATCCCACTCACACGTACTATCTGTGTGGGCTCTTTTATCTCCCCTGTTGTCATTAGACTCATCTCGGACAATGCTTACATTCGGAGCAACAAAATTTGCATCTCTTGAGATACACTGATTACAACGTTTGAAGAACTACCCCCTCGGGCTAATGACCTCTTAGTCCGAATTACAAAGTTATCCAAACTCATGTTTCTAATAAAAAAGACAAATACAATCAAGTCTAAAAAGTAAACTAAAAACCTTACAAATTAGAACCCTAATCCTTAAGTAGAGCGCATTCACAATCTCCAAAGTATCAAATTTCAAGTAAACAAACAATCCCCAAATCAGCAAATACAATTTAGTATATAACCGTAACATTTTAGTATCTTGATTATCTAATACTAGTAATTTTTTGTACGGGTTGGGGCACTAATTTTACCCGAAGTAGTAGTAGTGAAATTTTTGGCCGGAAGCAGGGGCACCTATTTTACTCAAGTAATAGTAGTGAAATTTCTGGCCGGAAGCCGGGGCACTTGCCTCGGTAGGCCCCGACCTAGGTCCTCCACTGAGAACATGAATAATGCTAAAAGTCCAATATTGCATTTAAAAAAGAACAGTAATATTTTTTTAACCTCGAGCATGGTGTAAATTAAAGTTAGCTGTTAAAATAAATATATAGTGTGAATTATAAAAGAAAAACTAACATTCATAATCACTCCAATATTCTCTAGAAGAATATCGATATTAGTAACTACAAACACATATATAGTTTAAGAAGGGAACAAACCATAAACAATATGAAGTAGAAACTCCACAAAGTCCAATAAGGTAAAACTTTAAACTCATTGTAGTCTGTAGATGGTAAAAAAGATTGAATTGACATGATAAAACTACCATTTGTTCATATTTCCAAAAAAAGTATTTCTTGTTTTTCATAGAATGAATACTATGATTTACATTTTGAACCGGCATGAATAGAGCATCTATAGGATAAATTCCATCCACAAAGTGAAGGTCCACTTTGTTAATATATCCGCGATTTCTCTCTATTTTTAATCTAATAAAAAATCAATAGGTTCCGTAAATCAAGCTACATGTTGTGTGTTATCAATGATTAGTGGTCTTATATCTTTCTTGTTAATAATGATATAGAAATCGCTCTAAATAGAACTAAAATTTAGACAAAATGCACAAATTAAAAATATATACTCGTATATTTTATTCCTACAATAGTACCATTTGATCCTGTTAAAAATATAAAACTCCCCCTATTAGGAGTGAATAAGTCCTATTTTTTAGAGAGAAAACAATGATAGTCTTATATGTACTAAATTACTAATGTACACTTTGTTTATGTTATAGTCCCATATAGGAGTAAAAACATTTTGAAATGTCAAACTTGACAGAAATTACTTCTATTTAGGGAATAAAAATGTTTTGAAGTTGGCCCTCGTAAATAAGTCCTAGTGCTCCCTCGTAAACTTTAAATACGAAAGGATGAATTTGGACGGGTTAGACTGTTAATAATCAGTTGCCATACCGTGAGAGCAGCCCACGATGAGCATGCTGCTCCCACAGGCAAAACACGCGTGTTACTAATCACGCGAGAACAATAATTTTTTTTTCCATTTTTTCATTGTTCCACTAGCAGAGCGATGTAACTCGTGTGTAAAGAAATGTAATTGATCACGCTGATAACAAATGTAACTGCAGGCAAGTCGAAATGTAATTTGTCTGATACAGATTATAAGAAATAAAACATTGATTTCAATGAAAGTAAGGAGTCTAATTGCTCAATTACATTACGTAAATAGTAAATATGTTTTGTTTTTAATATTAAGACCATAAAAATATTTTTTAAAAACATCTTTTTTGCCACAAAAAATTTTTTGTCACCATTCTTTCTTTTTGTTGGAAAAAGTGTTTTTTTTTTTGTTTCTATAGCAGGGATTTACTTAAACAGTGAATATGTTATATTTTTAATATTAAGGTTATAAAAATGTTTTCTATAAAATCATTTTTTGCCGAAAAATCATTTTTTTGCAAAAAAAAAAAAAACGATTCTTTTGTTTCAATAGCATGACTTTATGTTGCAATATAACTCGTGTTATGGAAAATGTTACTCGCGCTGATGGAAAATCTGACTTAGGTGTATGCAAAATGTAATTTATTGAGCCAAACCCAAATGTAACTCACGCAGAAGAAGATGTAACTCATTCGTTTTTTTTACTCTAGGGGGGCTGGGGGAGGGACCTGGAGTAATCAGAGCTGAAACTCACTCCATTGAGTTTTAAACTCTTATGTGCCTCGCGGGTTTCGAACTCGAGACCTCCCACTAGGCACGATAACCTCACAACCAGCTGGGCTGGAATGCTTGGCTAGATGTAACTCATTCATAAGAAGATGTAACTAGCGCATAAGAAAATGTAATTCCATATACTATCATATTTAACTCCATAAAATGTCTATAAACATAGCTCACACATGTGAAAGTTTAAACCACACGTATGAAGAATGTAATATCATATTTATACTGAAATTGCTGGGTTAATGACCCAATTGGAGGATCGACCCAATAAGCCCTCCTTCAGATGAACATCTAGGCCCAACAAGGCCAACTTTGAACGGATGAACGTCTATACAGAACCTGAGTAATCATGTCTCGGGCTAGGGAGACACACGTTGCCATCCCTGACCCACAGCTCAGAGAAGGTCCAGTCCAGGAACCAATCAACACATTCTACACAAGGGCCAGACGACGTACGGCCCGCAACCCTGTGCAGTATTGCCCGCAACCCTTTGCAGTATTGCCAAGAAAGTATAACACTACCTTTCATTTATGTTATGGAGCTTATCTCTTTGCAAGTTGTGTCTGTATTTTTTTCCATTTATCCTCTTCAATATAACGAACATAAATATATTCTATCAAACCATTTGTAAACTGTCAATTGATTGCGGATAGACTTGTTATTCTTATCTAACTTCTTAATTAAATGTCATATTGCTATCCTAAACATTTCAGTTTATCTCAAATGATGCTATGACTATATAATTGGTATATCATAGAGTATTAGAATATTTTGAAGGACTTATCAAGCTTTTTCATACAAATTCTAAATCCAAGACTCTTCAAATCCATATTTAGATGTTCATATAACTTGCTTGACTGAGAAAGTTTCAGTCCTTTTGATTGCAACTCACAAATATGCTTTAGTCATGAATTTGAGTCTTGATAATATACTGAAATTCAAGTTCAATATTAAAATGAAAGAAAAAGAAAAGCACCTACTTCAGAAAGTAATACCGAACAGAGAACTGAAAAAATAGTAGATTATATTTTCATATCCACTCATCTTTACTCTTATGTTGCTCATCAAGCAAAATAGTTGGAATATGTTGTCTATTGTGTTTAGTTTTAGTCTTAGACTATAAGTGATGTAAACCTCATATCTTGAGAATCATTTTTGGAAT